TCCCACAATGCACAGCACAAGCCCCCACAACAAAAACCTACCCTGCTCCAGTTCACTCACACTTCAGAGCTAAATTCTTGGGAGAACAGGTAGCATTTACCACACCAGCCCCCCACCTACTCATTCTTCCTGGAGCCCAGAGACACCTGGCACTTGACCACTAGGTGGCATTTACATTGCCGACCACTTCTCATTTTGAGAACGATTCCCTTGATTTTCTTGTCACTTCACAGCCGACATCCCACCAACTCTGCAACCTCTTCCGAGCCTCCTGCCCTGGCTCTTTCCCTTGCCCGCCACTAAACATCACGGTTCCAAGCAGCGGGAGTGGCCGGAGCCCTTACTGATCACCGGGCACACAGCTGCCTGGGCGACCATGTCTACTTCTAGCTGCTCCCCTGCCTTCAACCCCTACCTGAGAAAAACCTTTCTTCTCAATCCTAGAAGCTTTTTAAAAAAATAGAACATGAGGTATTTTCACCTTCCTATCTCATTGGTATGGCAAACGAAACAGGCAAAGCTAACCTCAGCCTGGCTCCTACTGCAGTTATCTGTCCTGTAGCCGCCGTTCCTATGGATGGAGCACTGTACACGCAGTCACTCTACCACATATACGCCAACTCACCATAAAGGTATAGGATTTATAATTTCTTAATATGATTCAAACTATTTCCTTCTTTCAATCTTCACTGTTACTTTCAGTTTAAAATCTAACATAGACCCTCTGCTGAGTTATTTGGCAGCTTCTTAATTCCTCTCTGATTTCAGTCATCATTCCTTTAACCCAATCTTCAATGCTCTTTCAAAGACTCTCATTTCACACAGCCAAAAAGTCTAGATTTTATGATGTGGCCCATGCCTATCTTTTGAACAGATGCTGCCCACCAACCTCACATTAAGCTACCTGCAGTTCTCCAAATGCACAATGTTTTGGGGGTTTCATTATTTCCCTTAATGTACGAAAAGTGGATGTTTTATAATTGGGCATTTATGTTAAGGATTCCAAAATATGAAAGTCAACCATTTTTATAATCAGGTAGAGAAACATATATAATCTATATTATTTTATAAAAATATATTGGTTAACAATGCCATTGAAAAATCACAAGGTTTTAACCCAAATTTCCATATTAATTCTTTCTATGAAATACAAGAGACAGAAGACTGATGAGCTAATGCGAAAGAGATGAGCAGCATATAAATGGATACTATTTGAGCTTGTGTTGCCTCAAACGGCATGAACTGTTGACATGCATTAGAAGAAAGAATTGTATTCACTGGCTAAATTCAATTTAGAAGACTTCTGTTTTCTTCTCTAAGTCAGATATATTTTTAGCATTTCTCAAAGCTCATTGATCTAAATTTTTTTTAAAAGCTACTGTCATATTACAGGAAAAAAATCATGGTTTTACATTTTCCTCCTAATACAGTTTGATTCATTATTAATGATGCAATTAGGAAAGAAAGCAATACTTCAGGTTATTAAATAAAAATATATGACACAAGTTTATTGAGAGCAATTTTGACAAAACTAAGGCTTCAAAAAATTTATAAGCTTATACTTGACCAACAATAAAGAACTGGCCTATTTAGATAAATTTTAATATTGAGAAGAAAAGTTAAAGATTAAAAATAGTTATTTGCCTCCCTGGATGGTATGGCTCAGTGGGTTGGGCATCATTCGGGTTTGATTCCCAGTCAGGGCACATGCCCAGGGTTGTGGGCTTGATCACCATTAGGGAGCATGCCTATCAATGTTTTATTCTCACATCAATGTTTCTCTCCCTCTCCCTTCCTCTCTCTCTAAAAACCAATTTTTAAAAAATAGTTATTTGCTAAGTAGATAAAAAAATTTGAAAATTCAAAATTCTTAATTTTTATTTATATAAAATAGGCTAGATTTGATTTTAGTTTTTCCAAATATGGCACAATTTTCTAAAACTGAAAATTAGGAGAATCCGGATCTGTCTAAGTCTTGGTCACTTAACCATCACAGACTTCATTTTATCTACAAAAGGGAAGATAATGCCTGTTATATTTACTATAAAGGGATATAATAGGGAAAAGTTCAATAGAACTTGACATTGAAATATTTCAATAATTTTGAAAAGTTCCAGAAATAAGATATTTCAAAATAAAAAGTGGAACAGTTAAGAATATTTGCATTCTTAAGGTTTTGTGTATATTTCAACTCTCACTAAACTGAATTTAATTTAACTGCTTTTTAAAGTAAATTATAAAAAAGAAATTACCTGGTGTCCAGGCAAAATGGCATTGCTAGCTAAGGTTCCAATGCTTATATCTCGAGGTCTTTCACAAAACAAATCTGGGTTTAGGAGTCTTCTAAACTTTTCCTATTGGACTTACCCATTTCAAGCATCAGTAGCTTCCCGATTTCCTGGTACAAACTATAAATCAAAAGCCTGGACACTTGGGAATAAAAGCTTTCATTGGGGTAGCTGAATAAGAAATGGTATGATTCTGTTTACTAAAGGAGGCTTTATGTACAAAGGTAATGATAAAAGATAATGTTATATTGTTGAGAATTTCAATACACAAATACACAAGTTATATAATCTAGTGTAATACATTGTAGAATGTGGTATAAGTATGAACTTTAATTACAGACAAGAAATCATAAACTACTACTTATCACTGCCTCCCCTGCCACCAGACAGATAAGTAAGACTCATGCCTCCTGGAATTCCTCAGTTCTCTCATCTATAAGACCTATTGGTACAACCAGAAAGTGGAAAAATACAAACTTTTTTAAGACCCAGTTGTTTCCATCTTACTCACAGTTAATTCTAGATAAAAATCTTTCCTCAAGATAGATAATATCAAAAATGTATGATACTGTTTAAATTACTATACCAAATCCTTGTTATAAACCTTGCTAAAAAAATATCATGCTTTTAAAATTATTCTGGACTATAATCCATGAAATTGTGGAATCAGTGTCCAGATAGCTACAAAGCATTGATATGTGATTTACTAGTGCTATTTGGGTTATCTGATTAATAAATAAATATATATATATATATATATATATATATTTTTTTTTTTTTTTTTTTTTTTTTTT